TGCCGAAGATTTAAATATAATGACAATTATTAATAATGCCATGTAGTACTATGTGTGTGCAATTTTCAGTTTTATTCAAGTTAATAAATCAATGAAATCATGTTTAAATTTGCTTGATTCTTGGGTAACTTGCTTTCTTCTCATTTTTCCACTCGATTTTTACTCTGCAGAATCTTGATGTTTCAGTAAATCTTCCAAGTCGAAACCATTGACTCAACATTTTCCCCTCTAAGAACAAGAATACTGAGAATGAATAGGACATTAGATTATGGAGCAAAATGTCTGGGTTTGTGATAGCTGTGTTTTTTGGCTCATCAATTTAATGCAGATGGTTTTGAAGACTGTAATAAGTGTCTGTTCTTTTGTTCTAAATAGCAAAATGAAAAGGTTGAGTAATCAAAATTTATTATTGAAATTAGTGTAGTCTATCTCTTTGAATGCAGTAGTAGATTATTTTGAGACAAAACACTGCAGATTTGTTGGGGAAAATGAATACATTTTTGTGTATATAAAATTCCCTACTGTTTTACTTTAAACTGGATGATTTTTGAGGAAACTTCCACAAAAATACTTTATAATTATATACCATGGTAGACATTCAAGATTCATTACAATTTTATACCATAGCATACATTCAACACTTAATTACATTTCCTTGCCATTTTGCATGCAAAGTATATTCCTGCCTCAGGGCCTTTGCACTTGCTATTCTCTCTGCCTGATGGATCATTCCCTAGATGGTCATGGCCCACTACCGCATTTAAGTCCCTGCTCAGATATCACTTCCTCAGAGCAGCCTTCCCGGATTAGCCCATCTAAAAATAGCACACTGTCACTATCCCTTTAGCCTGCTTTTTCTTCATAGCACTCAACCACTGTCTGACCTTACATACTTGCCTTACCCACTAAAATGTAAGGTCCATGAAGGCAGGGACCTCATCAGTATTGTTCATTGCTGTATCCCCAACAATGCTACATATTTGCTCAAGACATATTTGTTGAAATTAATTGAATAAATTGCAATTTGACTTTAAATATTTACCTCTTTTTTCCTCCCTAACCAGACAGTAAATTCATGGAAGGCAGCCAAAGACCCTGGTTGCTTATTTATCCTCTCTAAAGTAATTAGCTCAGTTCTGCATGGATGATAGACATTCAACCAAGATTTACTGAAAGAATGTTCGGAAACATGGATGTGTTTTGGGGCTAACTAGTCAGCATTCCCTCCAGGTGAACAAACAGTAACATCTTGCCTCTCAGCCCACATGTCACAAAGTTCTTTTATTTATATTAACCCATCTGATAATTTTGCCAATACTTTAGTAGTTTTTAAGGTTTGCTTAAATAAATGGGCTCTCAAATATAACAAATGCTAATTTCTGGTATGAACTATTACTAACTTTGAATACTTTTTTTTTGGCTTACATATCAGTGGCATTTAATGTGTTCTTGGACATCTGAAAAAATATTTTTAAAGACTGAATAACGTTTAAAATAAATAAGTAAAAATAAAAAAGTCTATCTTGACACATAACATGTGCAGGGACAGATTTTTGGAAATGTCTTAACAAAGTCTTCAAAGGGATTATTTCTAGATGATGGGACCTTGATAATGTTTACTTTTTCCCCAGCTTTCCAATTAGATTTTTTTTTAAAGATTTTATTTATTTATTTGACAGAGAGAGACACAGCAGGAGAGGGAACACAAGCAGGGAGAGTGGGAGAGAGAAGCAGGCTTCCTGCGGAGCAGAGAGCCCGATGCGGGGCTCTATCCCAGGACCCTGGGATCATGACCTGAGCCGAAGGCAGACGCTTAACCACTGAGCCACACAGGCGCCCCACCAAAACAGCTTTCTAAAACGTGA